CCCATAAATCCCCATCTCTCTCCGTCTCCTTTTGATCGCGTCTGAAAAAAAAAAAAAAAAAAAAGAAAAAAGAAAAACGAGCAGAGGCATACCAGAGGTATATATATATATATATATACACGTCGGTATGAACGAAACGTAAAAAAAAGACAAAGATAGAGAGTTTCTCATTTCTGACAATGAGCCCTCTCCCCCCGCCCTCGTGGAGCACAAGTTGCGCCGCTTATCGGCCCTTCGAATTTTTGCGGACGAATGCCGATACGGAATTAATTCCTTTTAACCGGCAGATTTAATAAACACCCCTCCTCGTGCGCGCTTGTATCGCGTTCCCTTTCATACGGCCTCGCCCCTGTTTCGTTCTTTCACCGCGCGAGCGGCGCTCCTCTCGACGCTCGAGTTCTCCTCTCCTTTCCCCCCCCCCCTCTTTCCCTCTGTCCCTGTGCTCGCGAACGGATCTTTATGGCGTGCAGCACGCCATAGGGGATTCACCGTGGAAGATGGACCGTGAAAACGACGCGACTCGGTGGAAGGCTCGCTCCGCTCGCTCGCCGAGCAATTACGTCGTTTAAAATGATCGGGCGAGCGACGGCTGCCGCGATTTTTCGAGCGCATTCCGTGAAATCGATGACGCACTACTGGGATGTTTTCACCTCGTGTTTCGTCGCTATGCTGGATCGTTTAATGTCGCGTGTCGATAATGTTCCCTGAATGTTCGATGAAGGGATAAAAAATTTTGAGGAGAGAAATAGAGATCGAGAGATGATTTGAATTTCTTTTCCTTTTTTTTTTTTTATTTTGTATTAAATTTTTCTTTTCAAATCATTTGAAATAAAAATAAATTAAAATTTGAAAAATATTAAGCGAAGTAATAGTAGTAGTTTCGATTGTGTATTTGCATAAAAAATAACAGTGAAAATTTCGCAATTAAGTTTAATTAAAAAACGTTATTTAATTGATTCATTTGCAAAAAACAAAGTCATATTTTCAGTTAAATAACAGCCATTAAGTACATATTCAAATGTATCATTGACAATTGGACTGAGACTTGGAGTGTTAAATGTACCATAAACCATTGAATTTATATTTAAATTTTACATAACCGATTAAATACAAATGACGTACTTACAATAGTCATAAAGTTTTATTATGAGTAATTTCACTTTATTACATTTTATTTTATTTTAAGAAAAATTATGAAAATTTATATATATATATTTTATTTCACTATCTGAAAAATAAAGTTTCGCATAAATACAATAAACTTTGTATTTATAATTTGAACTTTTACTTATACATTTGTATTTTGCAGTAATATCAAACCGCAGAGTATATTTACAAGAGTAAACGAAATTTTGCAAACAACATAAGAATGTAAGTGATTTCCTTCGAGACCAACAAACTTTAGTACAAACCCATTTGTCCCCCTCATCCTATTTTCACAACATCCCATGCATTACAATTGTTCAAAATAATGATCATCCTAAATGAAACGTTATAGCATCGTGCATAGTAATATCATTCGAGTTACAATTGTGCTAATATCAACGCATTTCTTGCGCCATACTTCAGGGAATAATATCCAAACATATTAATTTAAATGAACACATTTCTTCTATTCGTGTTACGATACATTTACAAACGCCTGTTGCATCTCTTGTATTAAGATAAACACATAAGATCAACATAACCTTTCCAACTTCAAACAAGCAGGTGAAAACAAAGAAAAAAACTGTTCAACAATAATATAAAAGTGTTACTGTTAATATCAATTATATGATCGATATTGTTAAGTAATAATCAATAACTGATAATGAATACTTGCATACTTGAATACTTCATTATATACATAAGTCTTTTCATAGAAGAACATTTTGTCATTTATAAGTTATACAGAGTAAAATATATAAATAACTTCAATTATATCGTTAAGCAAATTAGTCTTGAACCATAATTCGGTTCTGATACACATTCGCGGTTAATTCGATTTCGATCGTATTAAACGACCGTGTTTGTCGTCACGCGGTGAAAATTCTCATTACGAGCTCGTCGAACGCACTGCTCGTAATAATTCGAAGCGTGCGCGCGCAACAGCCAGTGGCATGGCCAGTTCTCACGTCGAAAAGTGATAAACCGTGACATGGTTAGGTTAGCGAGAGCTCCAGCGCAAAATTAATGCCATCATTAAGTTTGATTAAAGTTTTTACGAGGTGTCAAGCAATGGTATCGTGTCTCGCGATTAAATGGTCCGCTCGACCTTCTCGTTGCTATTGTTCAACCCGATCCACGCGATTACGCAGCCACGTTACTGCTGCCATTTTTTTTCAGACTTGCCATACGACGCATCAGGTTGGCATCAAATGACATCGGAGAAATTTTGTTTTGAAATACAATCTATTTTTTTGCGATAAAAATATTTTCTTGTCAAAATATATATATACATATATTACAATATATTACATATATTAAATATTGATACAAATTATAAATATTGATATCTGAATAAATAATTAAATTTAAAATGATAATAGATAATTGTAGATGTAAGAGTATGTAAGAGTATCATTTAAAATTCGATATATACTTAAAATTTTATAACTAATTCTTGAAAATCAAACCATTGCTGCTACTTTTTTCTGATTACTGCGCCTCATGTGGGCAATAAATCATCGAGTTTCAGCAAATTCTTGGCAAATTCGCTAACCGATTTTATTGGACCGCTAGTTTTGTCGAATTTGCAATAACGGCAGGCTGCCCCTCTCGTGGCTACGCAAGTGAAGTGATAGCAAGTGGATAGACGAACTCCGCGACACCAGATGCGGCGCAGCCGGTGGTTAGAATCTCGGGGACAACAGCAGCAACGACAGAAACCGAGTCGGCGAACAGCATACGATTATCTTTCTCTGGAACGGGCCGCCCTTTATCGCCTCCCTTGTCTGTCTGCCATTCGCTTATCGCATGCTGACTTCTCCCTGCAGCGGCTTCTCTTTATAGTTGGCACCGCAAAGGAAGTCGTGGCCACGAACTTGCTCTAAAATCCCCTCGTCCGCACGCACTGTAAACAGACGTGGATGGGGATCGGAACGAGCGACGCTCACGCCACTTGCTCGGTCTGCGCCGCTTCTTGCGTATAATACCTGCGCTAGTTGAAGTAAGTCAAACAATCTTGGAACGCGTTGCTCTCACAACTCGACTGTCTTTCGAGCATCGCGGTTTCATTGGGATCAGTGGTGTTCATTATTCTAGTGATAGTGCTTTACTCGTTTTTACGTGTTTTTTTTTATTTTCTGCTTTGTCGTGCATATATATATATATATTTTTTTATATATTTTATATTTAATTAAATTATTAAATATTATATATTTTTTTTTATATATATATATATTTTTCCTTTTTAGTTATTCTCGGTCGATTAACCTCTCAGACACGTCACATAGGTGATACCTGTCTTATGCCCATCATACCTATCCGAGGAGATTATGGATGGTTTCTGGATGCTAATCATTTAGAGAAGAGGAGGAAAATAATAAACTGCTCGTAATTTCATCTGTCGAGTGGAGGAGGCTCGTGATGGACGCTCGTAACAATGCGGAAAGAAGAGGAGTGGTAGGGGCTGTGTTAGGGCTCGTTGACGGCCGCTTTGATTTTGTTTTTTATCCGTGTCACCGGGGAGGTAATTAACGAATCGATTAGCTATGCGATCGAGGGTGGAACGAGGTGCTTGAAAATATAAGAAGGGGAGTATTATGTACAGGGTTGTTTGAAGGGACCCTTGCGGCTTTCTTGTCATAAAGTGTTTGTTCTTTGAGAGGTTAGGTTCACTGTGAACGTTGAAATAATTCGACTTTGTAAATAATATACAGTGGATAAGCATCGTTTGATGCCTCCTTGTCGTTTATTATTCCATGTTTCTAATATTAATTATTCATAATTATTATTTTAAATTATTAAAAGTTATTTATATATATATTGGTACATGGATTATATCTATGATTATATCTCGTGCATAAGAAATGCAAAGGTTTCAACAAGATCCAAATATATTTCAAATTTTGTCACACGTAAAATAAGACAGTTGCGCGAATGAAACATGAAAATCTGAAGCTATATCTTTTCAAATATGTCGATATTCTTCTGAAAATCGACACAAGGAATCGACGGACGTCCCAAGAGTGAAACTAGGTGACGAACCGAGAGTCTCCATGTCATTTATTTTCAGGGAACGGGGTCGAGCTCGAAAATTCTGAAAAATTATTCCTCCCAGCGGGCGTGCGTCGCGGATTTTTAAATATTCCATACGTCATCGCGGCACACGAGGCAACGTTTTCGAATGCGAAAATACGCGTCCCTGCACCGCCATCGTTCGGTGAAATAACAAACGATCCATCTGTAAATGAAACATTCACAAGGGCAACGATGAATGCAACTTATAGAGTGTCCCTGAGAGAAGTGCTCCCTTTAACTTTTCTCCAAACTTTCTTATTTTTCATTTCTTTCATCCAATATATATATTTTCATTTTTTTTATCCATTGTATAAATTTTTTCTCACTTTTTAGAGAAACAAACACTTTTAAAATAAAACAATGAGAAAAATTGAAGGTAAACAGACAAGTTCATTGACCAATAATTCTCAAACATCATACAAATAGTCATTCAACATCATATATAATTGTCTAAAGTATTACATATAGGTAGAGAATAATTCATAATAGAAATATGTTTCACTTTATTTTTCTCTATTCCATTATACATAAGAAATTTATCATTTTCCAAAGATATTTTGCATAATTCACAGGTTATATTTACATCTGACTTTGTCTTCCTATTTTTTTTTTTATTCACAAAACATTGAAATCCTGTCGTGTAAAATAAAGGATTACGAACAAGTTACGTGAAACGGTCGTGAATATGTAACGTATGTAAATCACACGAGTCGCATAATAACGCTTCCCCTTTTTCCTTATTCTCACCTTCGCAAGTTTTTTCCTTCGTCTAACCCCACTTCTTCGCATCTTTCATCCTTGCTCTTGCTCCAAGACTGTTTTTATGATTGCTGTTTCACATCTGCATGGTGGCGCAAGTGTGCCCCAGTTGCCTCGCGACAAAACTGTCGAAGTTAGTATGACGTGATTCGACGAGATGCGATTTTGATTGTGCAGAAGACAAGTAAATTCAATATTTGCATACGTCCTCCGTTCCATTACGTATATTTATCTTATCATTATATTATATTCTCATGTGAATTGTGTCAAAATATTGTGCAAGTTAACCTAACCTAAAATTTAGCATCCAGACGCTCGATCATTTAATTCTCTCTTGATTTTTTTCCTAACAAAATCATGCAATATACACGATTACAATAAGTCACGGAAACTCGCCAACAAATAGTTCCAGAGAGAGACTTTCAGATGACAGACGAGGTTATTCAGGTAATGGACGTAAGGTTTTCTAATGATTGGGGCTACTTGTTAGTCGGTGCTCGTTAGGAGCGCAGCTTTGTCAAAGAGCCGAACGAAGACGCTAATTACAGAGAGGGCTACTTCCTGGCTACGTTTGCGTCTCCTTCACGAAACACAGGTCAGATGATCACACCGCAAGAAGGCAACTAGCACCACTAACTGGACGCTGAAACAACTGGCCAGTTTCCTGCCGTACCTTCAAGGGACATACATCAAAGACGAACGTGGATTTCATGCGAATTTTTCTTCTCTTTTGACGTTTCTAGATGTTGAAACGACAACGTTGTTACAAGGTAAATTACAATTAATACTCAAGTTACAACTTGTCCTTATAATTGTGATAATATTATTCGAAATTTAAAGAGACACCTTAGAAATTTTAATGAACAAAGAAGTCATTTATTTTGATATGAAGAAAACCATAATCGAAAACTCTTGCTTCAGAGAATCACAGAGAGCAAACTGTTTGCTCGCGTATAAATGGTTTCTTAATGTAATTCAAATAAAAATCGTCTCAGAAGTGTATTTATAGAATAATCTCACAGTCAATGTCCGCGTTCAGAGGCAGATATCGCGACAGAGAAGCCCTGTTCTCCCATAAACCATATATATATAATTACAGTAAGATTGTTTTCGCGATCCCTGGTGTAATTATAAACTTTTCAACGAAGAATGCTCTTTTATCGGGGCAAATTTTCCCGGCCATCCCCTCCCTATCCTTCCTCCTTCCATTCCATTCTCTTCGTTCTTTTACTACGCTCAGATATTCGAGATTTTCTCGTTCGTTTTTCTCGATAGCTGTACGGCAACTTCATCGCCAACTTCCGCGACGATGTAATGAGAGGATCGAGGAGTATCATGGCAGCGGATATCTATTGGGTGATAATGGGAATTGAAGTGAGATGAAATCGTTCAACTTCTTGCGCTATAGTAGCCTCAATGATGGTAGTTGGACACGTGGTGAAAAAGATAGATATGAGGTCATGAACCGAAGCGCTACACGGGGACGCTAATTAATTTAGCCGCACCTAGGATCATATGCACCTCGTGTTCATGTCGTATCATCTATTGGGAATAGGCTCTAAAGTCACCGAAGCTTTTTTTTAGCTTATTTTCATGATACAATTATTCTTATTAATTCGTAGAGAAACAATAAACAGTTTATATTTTTATCTCGTTTTAAAATTATAATTTCTTTTAAAATTTATTATTGACGAATGAAGATGATTTTATTAACTATATTTTAATTCAGAAGAACGAAATTTCCAAATTAATCAAATCCATGACCATTCTAAACTGTAAACCTAACCTATAAATGTTACAATCTATAATATGGTAAAATAGATGTATATCTATTTTGAATTTCTTTATGATGCAACACGTTTCAACTCGTCGTTTGTAAATTAATATTTGAAACTTTTGTTAAATATAATTTTTTAAAAAAATATAATTTAATTTTTAAATATAATTTTTAAAAAAAAAATCCTAGAAATATGATTTGTCATAATTAGTCAATTATGTTATGTAGAGAAACAATAAACATTTTATATTTTTATCTCGTTTTAAAATTATAATTTCTTCTAAAATGTATTATTGACGAATGAAGATGATTTTATTAACTATATTTGAATTCAGAAGAACGAAATTTCCAAATTAATCAAGTCCATGACTACTTTAAGCTGTAAACTTAACCTATAAATATTACAATCTATAATATGGTAAAATAGATGTATATCTATTTTGAATTTCTTTATGATGCAACACGNAAAAAAAATCCTACAAATATGGTTTGTCATAATTAATCAATTATGTTATGTAAAGAAATAATAAACATTTCATATTTTTATCTCGATTTAAAATTATAATTTCTTCTAAAATGTATTATTGACGAATGAAGATGATTTTATTAACTATATTTGAATTCAGAAGAACGAAATTTCCAAATTAATCAAATCCATGACTACTTTAAGCTGTAAACCTAACCTATAAATATTACAATCTATAATATGGTAAAATAGATGTATATCTATTTTGAATTTCTTTATGATGCAACACGTTTCAACTCGTCGTTTGTAAATTAATATTTGAAACTTTTGTTAAATATAATTTTTAAAAAAAAAATCCTACAAATATGGTTTGTCATAATTAGTCAATTATGTTAATATATATATTGATATATATAATACATGTATTATCTTTGTTATATTTTCGTATTTCTTTCAGTTTGTTTTAAGGGCAAAATACATGTATGTATGTTGGAAAAGTAGTGAGACTTTGAAAGAGGAAGTTATTCGCGCGGTTATAGAGGAGGACCGGCTTTGAGCGTCGAGCCTAACGAAGTGAGACATTCAGATGGTCACTTGATGCTTTCACCATACTCGTGCTATTACGCAGTAACAACGAGCAACCTCCATAAAGGTAATGACACCGTAACTACCGTCTTGTTAGCGCGGCAAGCGACGGCATAGTTTTACGTCGATCCCAACCACTGTGCATGATATTCCGTGGACTACGCCTTGGGCTGTTTATGAAAAGGGTCTTTTCCGGTGTATAATCTTAACTTTAACGGTTAAATTCTTTGGTTTTCAGTATTCTTTACGAGTCATATTGTTTGCTTACTTTACGATATCTGAAATACTATATTTTATTTGATTTTGAAAAATATTTAAATGCGAATGAAAATCTTTGATTTTTCTTTTTTTTTTTATTTTATTTTTGAATCATTGTTTTAAAGATTCTTTATGTTGACAATAAAAATATAAAAAAATAAGTGAACAAAATTTATTTGTAGGTAAGTAGTTGAAATAGAGATTAATTTATTTCTCTTTCTGTTCTAAAAGAATGAGAGTTCCAATCGTATAATATTTTGATTTGTTATCACTGTCTTTCGATTATTTACCTCTCATGTTTCTTTCCACTCACAAATTCTTAAGATGTAATGTATTCTTCGAGATGGGGAATTGGTTGAAAATATTATCTTGTACTAATGTATTTTTTCAAAGAGGTTGAGACAGGGTCGTGGAAACAGCGTGGACCGACAAGATAGAAAGATACTTGTACCATTCGCAGCAGGATATTCCAAGAATTATGTCGCTTAATTCTTCATATTTTTCTCATGTTTCCTACGTATTATACGTTTTTGTTTCCTACGATAATTCCTACATTTCCTATCATTTTGACATATAAACAAGACACAAAACTGTTGAGAATTTACTTTAATTACCCAACCCAAGTTTCTAAACCAAAAAAAAAAAAAAATCTTACATACTGTTGGAATATTTATATCATGTCACGATATTAAAATAACCACTAAAAACTAGCATTCCTCTTATCGTCATCTTTCTTCAACATTATCAGACCATTCTCAAGCCTCTTGAAATTCGAAATTCCTCATATCCTCTCTTTATAACCTTACTATTGGATAAAAGTCATAAAGAAATTCAAAATGATCCTAACCTATTTCCGATCTATTCGCATTACCATCGAAATACGGTTCAAGGAAGCGATATTTCCGACCATGGTCAAAAGAGATTCTTCTCAAAAAACGAAATTAAAAATGTCTATGCGATGGTCGATCTCGTATATTTGCCGTAGCGAGGGGAGCGTAAAAGGAATCGGCAGTTGAAGATCGCATCTCTTTGCAGTATAGGTTAGGATGGTGTGCACGCACGCGCGCGCGCGTTTCCCGGTTGTATTACACATTCTCTCTGCGTGGAGTAGATTTTAAAAAGCCTCTCTGATAGGGGCCGGCACTGGGGAATCTTTATTTATGAAGTCAAGCACCATACGACACTTTACTGGATCCACCGTATCCTTTTACGCTGGTGTGGAGAGACCGACATCTCTTTGCGCATGCGCGTCCCATGTACGTACACGTAAAAGATGAACAGAAATATCTTCGAAGGAAGACGGAGAGACAAGTCTATCAAGTTCTATGACTAGGTTACGTTTGGTTTAAGATATATGAATCGAATATACTGGATATAAAGAATAAATTGTCCAGGAAATAGAGAATATATTTTAATATATTTTAAAATATATATATATATATATAATTCGATTTTCGAGTTAAGAAAATTTTCAAAAAAAGCATTTTAATAATTTTTCCACGTTATATAAAAATATAATATAAATATATATAAAAATATAAATCGGTTTAATTAAAGAAAATGACAATTGCGATAAGTTTGCTGAAAAGTCGTTATATCTATGAAACAAGCAGAAAATAGATTTTCCCATGCTATTAATTTTCTACTATATACCTCTTTCATCTATTTCAAACGAAACAAGAGTTATAATCCGATTCTAGTAAAGAACGATGATATAGATACTGTTTAAATTACAAAATAACTTCCTGTAACTACGCCTACGCTAAAGACAGTAGATATTGATTGTTAAATATAAAGTCTGTTCCTTGTTCCTTTGTCAGAGGAAAATAAGTATCTTATTAATTCACCGCATTAGGCTTTTATAGGTTATCACATATACCTCGATATAATACATAGATCCCGAAGAATTATTCATATGCGATAGATCTGTTTTTGTTATTTTTATCGCATTATTATTTCCTTCAAATTTCAAACAAAATATAAATTCTCTTTAAAATGAGTAATAATTATTACCTATTGTGATTGTCCACCAACGACAATAGCACTGCGTTAGAATTTTAAACGTAGATATAAATTTCTGGCCTAGTAGTTCTTTGAAATAGAGTTTCCTTTATACGTGATAATAAATTCAATATATGTTTCATATTGTAATATTCAATTCTAAAATTCATTTTAAACAGAAAATAAAATTGAGATTATAAGTATGGATATATTGTCACTAATTAAAGATTGAATTAACAAAGATTTGAAAGAAACAAACATAAGATAGTTTGTCTTAACAGAATGTATAATGAACAAAAATGATATTTAGATTCAATATTCTCATATTATGTCGAAAATTTTCAGTTTTTATGTTATACCTGAATTTATGAGCTTCATATGTTGTTGTCAAAATAGTTGATGTGAATATCAATATAAATATTTTGAGAATCGTATAATATTTTCATGTACTTTATTTGAAGAATAAATAAGAGAATTGTTTATTAAATTCATTTTTAATATTTATAAAATGATACCAATATTACCAATATTTGTTTAATCAAGAAAATATTTATACTAAGATTTATGCATTTTTATAGATAATATCACTCGAATAAAATGAAGATTACTGTAGTCTCTTTATACTGACGATATTCCATATAAATAATCGAAAAAAGCCTTTTTTTTATTTATTTCAAAACAAAAATATATTTCCATATATTTTCCTTAATACACTCGTAAAATCCATTATTTTGCAGAAATGGAAAGTTTGAGTGATCGAAAGATGAAAAAACGATCGAGAACAGAGATAGAGTGACGACATAAAGATAAGGAGGGGGGGAAAAAGGCAACCACCGATGAAACTCGCGACCGATCTTTCAACGAGATAAAATGAAATAATTCTCGTTGTCAGTCGAGTTCGAAATCCTTTTCTCTTTCCCTCCACACTTCACTTTTCTTTCCCCTGCATTCGACCAGCGCTTCGTATTTTCGCGTTTTCGATGAGAAAAGAAAAGAGGAGGGGAGAATGTTTGCCACTCGTTCGCCGGATAATTCCGCGAAAATTAAACGCCAGGAAAGAGATGGAAATTACGATTAGATCGTTTTTTATTGGCCGATACGCCAATTTTCACGGCGATCTTTTTGGCGCTGTTTGGTTTGTGAACGGAACAGAGAATCACACGCGAGTAATTTTATTTATGATTTTCATTTCATATGAAAATAATCTCCAATCACGAGATTTTTAAATTTCGTTATTTGTTTGAATATTGAAATAGGATCAGATAGACAGAGATTGGAATAGAAATAAGTTTGGCCAAAAAGTTTTGGCAAGCCTCTGTATATCGGGGAAACGAAAAGCTACGAGGGCATGCCATCTCGAGATCATGAAAAGGCATCGGGTCAGTCGAATATCAAAAGACTCGCTCGACTTAGAATGTCAAGATGAAACGTTAC